AAAACAATTCCGGGAGATCAATCTAAATGGTTTTACATATATAGATCTATATTAAAATTTCAATATTGATAATTTGATATTCATATTTTGTTCATAATTTTCCAGTTGTATTGTTTTTCCTGCTGGACTCTGATGCGCAGAGAGCTGGCCTAGTTGCTCGCCCCCCGCGCAGACATCGGAGCTGTCATGTAAATAATGCACGGTGTGGTACGGTGTGGTACGGTTACAGACGCAGTGGGCCACACACTCCTCGGCCCGTTCTCTTCACCTCCATTTTTAATCCTGACCTCGTCGTAACCGCGTCCACTGCTCAATTAACCCTCATCACGGCCTCACGTACCGCAGCTGCGCACGCGTCCTTCTGCGCGCCGCTACATCTCGTCCGATTATTTAAACATGAGAGGAGTGGGCTGTGCGTGACTGCGAGTGTGTGTGTGTGCTTCAGTGTGTGTGTGTGTTTCAGTGTGTGTGTGTGTTTCAGTGTGTGTGTGTTTCAGTGTGTGTGTGTGTGTGTGTGTGTGTGTTTCAGTGTGTGTGTTTCAGTGTGTGTGTGTTTCAGTGTGTGTGTGTTTCAGTGTGTGTCCTTGGCAAGACACTTCACTCACATTGCCTAGAATGAGTCTGGTGTGTGTGTGTGTGAATGGTTGGTGGTGGTCGGAGGGGCCGATGGCGTATACTCCTTGCCACGCTTCTGTCAGTGTGCCCCAGGGCAGCTGTGGCTACAGTAGTAGTTTATCACCACCGTGTTTGGAGTGAAAGAATAATCACATGTAAAGTGTCTATGAGTGTCCATAAAAGCGCTGTATAAAACTGATGCACTGTTAAGGTTACATTTATTTCCTGTTTTATTTTGTAGTTTGTTTACCGCTGGGTCTTCTTTTCTATTTTAGTTACTTCAAATTCTTTATTATAAAGTGGAATCCAGATCACAGTAGCAACAAACTTGCAGTCTTAATGCATGCTCTTCAAAACGTTTTTCCAGTTACTGTTAAGTTTATTCACAAAGCTAGTAGTTTTGCTAGCTAATAAGATATGATTTTGGTTTTTGTTTTGTTTATTGAAACAAAAGTATAATCCATACAATTTGGCATTAACCATCCTGAAATTACAAAAGTGCAAAGTTTAAGGCACACACGCAAACACGTCCTTGACCTCCTGTCCCGTCATTGTCATTCCTTGTCTGTTTTAGTTCCTGTCTTCAGTCCCTCTTTGGTTTCTTTTTGTGTTTATGCTGGATTTTAATTTGTATCTAATCTTATTAAATCCATTATTTTTACAGATGGCCTTTTGGGGTTTTTTTTCTTTCTTTATTTTGAACCATGATACTTGCTCACAGATTCATATTCACACTACTTTATCTATTCCACCAGGTGCAATTTGTTTGAGCAGCACAGGGCATACAAAACATAAAAAAACCTATAAAAACACGGGAAATGTCAGACAATAACGTACAAATTTAACAGAGTGTAACCCTTTAGTGATTTGCTGGATCACTTTTTGATATCTACCAGATTGGGGCATCTCACTTGGTTTCAGGTACTTTTACCATCAAACTGCATTTCAACCATTTTTTAGAGGCCTATAACTAAAAGACTAGAGGGTTTAGGGTTATTAGTGCTGCTTCATCTTAGAAAATCCCCCAAAATGTTTTTTCATTGCATTCTTCAAGGAGTGAACATTAAAGGGTTGAGACTTTTTTATGTCAAAAGGCGGTTCAATCCTGCGGGCCCTGTGTTCTTGGACCCGTGATGAAATGGTGTGTCTACCTCGAGAAATGTTGACAAGCTTTTTAGAGCAGTGTCAGCTCATGTGAAGCTAAGCAGAGGGGGCCGAATTAGTACTGTGATGGGAGACCTCTGGGAAAACCGGGTGTAATGTGCCTTAAGCAAGTCACTTCACCCACATTGCCTGGTATGAGTTTGGTGAATGGGTGGTGGTGGTGGGAGGGGCCGATGGCACATACGGGTTGCCTTGCTTCTGTTAGTGTGCCCCAGGGCAGCTGTGGTTATAGTATTAGCTCATCACCTCTGTGTATGGGTCTGGATAAGGGACTGAATGAATAATGACATGTGCCACGTTTTTTTGTGTCCAGAAAACCACGATATGAAACCAATACATTATTGGTCGCATTATTAACCACAGGGAAGGCAGAAACATGTGAAAACAATAGGATCAAAACAAACCTCCAACTTCCATCATCTAAAGTCTCAGCGCGGTGTTCCCAGGATCCCAAGGAATCACATAATAATGGACTATCGAGTTTATCATCCACGTGGAGCAATACATACATAAGCACAGCCAGTGCCTTCCCTGGCTCTTCTGAACACTGTCATGGTGTTTTCACCTATTTTGAGCACTAATGTTCTTGTCTGGTAGAATGTGTTAGCCTTTTGCAAACCCTTCAGAGGAAAAAAAAAATTTAACTAGGTTAACCACATTTCCACTGATACAAAAACAGGGGACTCAACACTGAAGTGCAAAGATTTCATCCATCCATCCATCCATCCATCCATCCATTTTCTACCCTTTAATCCATTTCTGGGTCAGGGGGGTGGCAGTCAGAGATGCCACCCAAGTCTCATAGCACCAGCCCCTCACTGACCCTCTGCAGGTGGTGAGTCCACAGGAGGACGGCTGCTCTCTGAGTGTGAGCATAGCCTTGATCTTTCAGTGGGGGCTTTTGGGCAAAGTGGGGTTAAGTGTCTTGCCCAAGGACACAACGACAGCTGCCATCAGTGGGAGTCGATGGAGAAGGTGCAGAGGTGGGAATTGAACCCACAACCTTCTGGCCTTAAGGCCAATGCTCTACCAACTGAGCTACTGTCGCAAAGATTTCAGATATACTAAATATATCATCATTAGATAAACATTTGCACTGCTATAGTCACTTTTAATTTAATTTTTCTATAATATATCTTGTATAAAAGAGACAATATTTGAACCTTTTTTAACATGTTTGAACACTTCTATGCCAAATGTGACATGTAAATTTCTCCATTGTGAGAACAATAAAGTTTATTTCATCTTATGTTATCTTATCTTGTAATGAGCCACGGGTGTCATACTTTCTCATCCGATATCAGACAGAAACAGCAGGTCTTCTTTAAAGTGTAAAGTCAGAGCTCAGCTCAAGAGCAAAGCCGTGCTTCCAAAACACTTGAACACTTGAAGAGTAAATGTGCTCAGAGAGATTGATTGACAGTCACAGGAGCCATCAGCAGAGGCAGCCATGTTTGCACCTGTCTGCCTCAGGGGCGGTTATGGCTATAGGTCATACGATAAGATAAGATAAGAAAATCATCATACCTTACTGAGTCGTGATGAAGGATGTAAGGGGCTGGTTTTGAAAAGATTTTTTTATATGTAATACATTCCCTATAAAAAATGCTAATGCTAATCTGGAACTCACTCCCACAACCCATCAGAAACTGCAACTATTGTCCATGTTTGTAAGCTTCCTTAGCCCGGTGTTTTAAACTAAAAACATGAGGATCATGTAGAGCAAGGGTGTCAAACTGGTTCCAGTAAGAGCCGACGTGGCTGCAGGTTTTTATTCCAAACAAGCAGGAGCCCACTAGACTCCACCCATTCCCTGAAGTGAGTCCAGCTTTAACCTGAAGCCCTGAGCAAATGGTCTTGGATCCAATTTAAAGAATCTGGTCTACTGCACATTCTCCATATCTGTGCAACGGTTTTATACGTTTCTACCTTAAATGTTTCATCCAGTAATTCACCAAACTTAAGGTAAACCTAGTCTGTGAGATGCAGATGTGTTTAAACGTCTTTACACACTTTTGTGCGTCTGTTGTGGATCCAGCAGCAGCTTGAAGGCTGTTTGTGTGAAAGTGAATAGAGGAACAGTGTGGAAAATTGATAAAAAGAGAGATTGTCGTCGCGGTAACGGAACAATGAATAACTGTGGCAACATATTAACCAGCTGATGTTTTAAACTGACAAAAACAAACACAAAATACAGTTGTGCTTGAAGGTTTACACACACGGCCAGAGCTGTCACTGACCATATTTTGGAAATCGTTAGTGATTGTGTGAAGCGTTCTATTGTGGGTGAATTGACAACAGCGCAAAGTCCTTCCAGACGATGGCTATTGTGATTTGGTACACAAAAATGTACTTTAATTGAATTTAGGAGCTGGAGGCTTTTTGCCAAGTAGAATGAGCAGCTTTACCATCAGAGAGGATGTAGAACCAACTACCACAGGAGACTCAAGCTGTCATAGATGTATAGTGGAAACCCACCCTATTGTGTTAGGGGTGGAGACTTCTGATCAGTGTCAGAAGAGTTGGCATTATCATTGGGAAATTAAAATAATGATATATGACATTATCAGTGGGAGCAATGGGTTGTCCAATCACAGTCTGCATGTTTTCAGTCTGTAGTTCTGACCCCAGAAATGGATCATTTTCAGGACCTCCTCAAAAACAAGATGGGGCTTATCTTTCAAACAAATATATCAATAAATGTATTTGAAAACACTATGAATCCTTGTGATGACTTTCTACAAGTAAAAAAACTGTACAAAAGCTTGGTTCAATTAACGCCTAAGTTCCAATCATTCCAATGTTGTTAAAGAAGGAAGATTTTGCACTGCATTTGGCAAATGCAGTGCAGTGAAAGACATGTGGTGCCATGCGACTATGTCAGATCTGCGCCGGAACCCAATGGAGGCAGTTTTGGTCAACTTTAAAAATGCACAACCACTAAACAGACTTCGGTTCGGGAAAAAAATCTTCCAAATGCAGTGCAGTGCAATGCAATTGCCATTGTTTTACTGTGGGAGGGTCCAAAACCAGCAGCTATGGTGTTGTTTGTTGTTGACCTGGACCTGTGTGTGTGTGTTTTATGTTTGTGGTTATCATTCATAATTTCTCATATATGCCCAACACCTTCACACAACATTTTGTTTTTTTTATTTCTGCACGACTGTGTGTGCAGAGACATGAATAGATCTCAAACTGAACCTCTCGCACACAGGACTCACCAGAATGGGGAAGCCGGTGAGGAAGTCGTAGATGAAGACGATGCCACTGATCAAGTATGTGATCTGCAGAGAGGTCTTGAGCGGTTCTGACCCGTCTATAGAGGACCGGCGTTTGCCCTGAGCGTCCTCTACCACGATGGTCGGCACGTTGAACTTGTTCTTGTCTGCCTTGTGTCCGGCCTGGATGGAGAAGGTCTGGAACAGGGCGATGCCGATGCAGATGACCCCCATGGCCACGCTGCCCCCTATCAGCAGGAGGAAGCACACGCCGAAGCCCAGGCCGATCTCCGTGACGATGAAGCGACAGTCCGACGTGTAGAAGCGGTTCATGGTGTCGTGCCAGCCCACCGCCGGCAGAGTGGACAGAATGAAGGACACCATCCAGATGCCCATGACCGTGTGCACCGCTTGCTTCTTGGTGTTGCTCAATCTGGAAGAGAAAACATCAACAACAATCAATGAGAAAGACCGGTTCTGAAAGGCATGTGATTATTGAAAGGGACTGTATGTATTCTGCGCTCTCAGTGGTCTCAGAAAGTCTCGTAATCATGCGTTTGTTGCCGGAATCTTCCTGCGACACATGTAGCTCCTGAACACTGATTATTGACTGCAATCCACCTTCTGGGGATTATCTAGAAACGGCCCATACTCTGTGTATTATGTACGGCAAAAATCAGTTTGGATTGAGTTCCATATCTTAACATACTGACAATTATGCTAAAACTAACCCTAACCCTAATACACTAAGGCTATCCCTAATACACTAACCTAACCCTAAACCTAATCAATTGACCCTAACCCTAACCCTATTACAATAAATATAACCCTAAACCTAATACACCAAGGCTAACAGTAACCCTAACCCTTAATGCACTAACCCTAACCTTTACAAACTAACCATTATCCACTTAACATTATTCAATTTCAATGCAATTTATGATTAGAAAATTCAATGGTTCAAACTCAGAAAATGCAATTACAGCAAACACATAGAAGCCATTGGTGGATTAATAGTCGACCACTGTCCATAAATGTTCATGAAAGTCTTGTCAATTCATCACTGTCCTTCGACCCGTCTGCATCACAAAAAGAACCTGATTCACAGCTTATCCTCAGAAAACCTGAAAATAAAAAGGCAGCTGAACTAATACAGGGTCTAAACTTTAGGATTATTATTGTTTCCCCATAAGGACAGCATGGTCTGTTTGGCAAAGGACATTCTAAAATTACACTTTGATTAGAGCTATATTTAGACTGTGACTTTAATTCAATACATTACTATGCAGCCCAACAGACTCTGGCTCATCATTCTACCTCCTGTTTATTTCTTTAGTCAAAGGCTGTGATACATGTGGCTACTGCAGTCTGCACATCACCACAAGACATAAACACACAGACGTGACTGCTGGTCAGAGGACCATCACTCTGAGACGAGAGGAAACACAAACACAAACACTGCTTTACTACAGGGACAAGCGACAAACCAAGGACTCTGAAGTCAATAAGAAGCAGCCATTCTCCTTATGTGTGTGATGACTCGGGCTGAAATATGTAATCACCGCCCGGACTCGTTGGCTGCACCCCCCCATCCCTGCCTGGGAGCCTATCCAGTCCTGCACTGCACAGCCTCAGTCCTCGTTCTACAGTCTGAGTCCCGGGTCTACGGTCTGTCTATCCATGGGAGCGGATCCCTCTCTCACTGTGGGCCTCTCCAAGGTTTCAAGTTTTTTCCCCCACTGTTTTATAAAAAAAAAATCTAAGATGACCCGTGATTAATAAATGCCCTAAATATTTTTTTTCCAAGCTGAATTTTGATGATTCTCATAACTTGGATCATTTAGACCCTCTTAGACCCAAATTTAGGGTATTTAATCATCAGTGGTGGTTCATTTTTGAAGGATTTTGAAGTACATTTTTTAACATGTATGTACAGTATTTTGGTCATGCGCTCCTATAAATGGCTCCTATGTGTTTGTTATTATTCCATTTCCTGTGTCAGAACAGTTTGATTCTCAGATCTGTTGTTGGCGAACTGTTTCTGCTCCAAAAATAAGAGAAGAGACACTCGTTTGATCTAGCCTGGTCGTACCACACCATAGTACAAACTACATTTCGTACTCGTGCTCCATTGAGCTCCGTTTACAGATAGGAGGGGTTAACTCCTTTTGCAGATTGAAACGACTGGATCTGAGTTTACCGTCACGTACTGTATGTAATGCGCCCGAGTAAGTGTTAGCATTTAGCCTAGCCATCTCCTTTGCCGCTAACGGAGCCCGTGGGGAGTAGCGCCACAATTTTTCCAGCGATTACATTTGCTAAACATTCCTCTTTCTCCGGCTTCAATTTCTTGATAGAACCAGACCGAATTACTTACTTTTCGCCATTGCCAAACTACGACCTTCCTGTTTGACGCAAACCGTCAGCACGTGACCCGTTCCGTTCTCTGCAGTGATTGGCTGTCTTCTTCAGCGCCAAACTGAAGCACTGAGCGACTGTTTAATTTTTAAAAGTTAGCCAGCGTGAAGCAAGTGTTTTTCTTCGTTCCCTGAGCGTTGTAGCACGTGAGTAATCAGAGGAAAGTACTGTAGATCTATTACCATTCAAAGTACTTACGTTATTTCTAATCTGTCAGCGCACTGTTTAATGTTCCGAGGAGCTCACACGGCACAGAGACAGAACAGAACTGGCTCCAATAAAGAAACAGGTTGGTTGAAAGGCTGAAAAAATACTTATTGTGCTCTTACTATCCAAAATGTATGAGTGGGTGTGTTGTGTGAATCAGGATAAACTAGGGATGAAAATATTCCACGGATCCACGATTTACAACCTTTATCTGCTGATAATGTAATTTCTGTGAAATGTGTGACAGCGGGCACTTGCTGTTATTTGCTATAAGCACATTCAAGCGATGCACTTGAATGTGCACGTCCTGGTGCAGCTGCTGCCGCTTTGTAATGACAGCCGCGGCGCTCAGTGAAAGCACAGCTCTAACATGGTACCGAGCTCGGACCATATGCAGACAGAACCATGTTGCAAGTGCGGGTCTCCCTCGTATCTCCCCCGTTTCTCCCCTGTGTCTCTGACATGTCTCTCCCCTGACTCTTCCCAAAGCGCAACCAGCGCTCCCGAAATTAAAGCTCGGATACCTAAATTTTCCATTGCGTTAACGATGCATGCTGGTTGTGCGCAAAACACACCACAACAGGTCATTTAAGTTTTTATTTTGCATACTTGAGAGCCCTGTGAGTCATTACTTGCCTTTTTGGGTTGAGAGTGGAATAAAAAAAAGAAAATATAGAAAAATCCACACTGTTACTTATTGCCAAACTCTTGTTAACTCATTGTATTGAGAAATACTATGTCACTTTTGACATTGGCCAAGTTATATAAATGATTCTGCAGTTCATGTATATGAATGTCTGTTTTTGATTGTCTAGTATACCTTCTTATATAATTTAGAAAAAATGCCACCTCCACAAAAAAAGATAAAAGATATCAGGAGCTTTTTTAACAGTTGGAAAGTAAGTAAGAGAAAGCACAAGTAATAGCAAATTATGAATTGTGATGATTAATCTTCTGTTAACATACATAACTGCTTCTCATTCAGTCTACAGCTGAGTTTAGTATAGAAGGCAACACACTATTGCAAATATAGTGTGTGATTACACAACAAATTCTGGGGGAGAAACTCTGGACCCCGTGTCAATGGGTGTAGACTCAGGTCGTAGTGAATGTCCCCACCAAGATTGGAACCAAACCTACACCATTGGTTGATGGTCAAAGTAAACAAGCAAATGGCAAAATTATAACATGAATCTATTGCATCAAAGTTGTTGACAAGAGCAACACAAAGGTTGTCTGTGTGGAGTGTGCGTTCTCATGAGTCCTTGAAACCAGAACTCCCTCTTGGTTCATCTGAATAATAACAGGTGTCTGCTGCTCAATGTTATGTCATCCTTGCCCTTCCACTGTTCCAGCTTCTTCTCTTCCTGCGTACTGTACCCTAATCCCCCCTGTCTGCTTTCTGCCCTCTCTCTCCTGCTATTAGCGACACAGTAGGGACTCGGTGTGAATGAGGCAGAGAGGCACGAGGCAAGACTTATTTTTTCTGACCTTGCAAAGTAAAATATATTGTTGGTTCTTCATATTTTGTTTTAATAAATGGCACAAAGACTGTTTCTCTCAGATCCATTTATCGAAAGTAAACATTTCCACTACGATAATATTTTAAAGTTATCACACGGTGTTGCTACTCTGGCAATGACGGTATTTTGATATATCGTTCAGCCCTGACTTTCAAAAAACAAGCCTTGAGCTCATTCTAATTTAAAGTTCATCCGTCCATTTTCTTCCACCTGATGTCCGTGAATGAACTTTCCTTAGACCCTTATCCACCGGCAAACAAGGACAAAATGAGGAGGAGCCCATAAAAATATAAAAAAGTGAAGAGAGAGAAGAGTCAAACTTAATCATTTCGAGACAAATCTGTGTAAAAACCAGTAGTAGTAGTAGTAGTAGTACCGGTTACAGAACAGTAGGAATGAGGAGCGCACAACACAAGATGAATGAAAAAATAAAATGAAAGATAATAAGATCTCTAGCTTTAGCATAATGAAGAAGCAAGAAAATCTTTGACTTTGGCATAATAAAGAAGTATAAAAATTGCTACCATTGGCATAATAAGAAGCAAGTATAAAATAATGTGAAGAGATATACAGTTGTGTGTTCACATGTTAGCAGCATGAGGGTCTGGGACAAAGTGACAGTGGACACACATATTGCACATTCTGACATTAGTTTGAGATTTTGCATTTCAAGCTTCTATACTGACTATATTGCAACTCGCATACTTTAATCATAATTCTAAAAACAGATCAGAATCACATGTTTGTAATTTTGTCCAGTTTTAGAACCACAGCAGGTTCAAACGACTCCCCAAAGTAGGTCAGAGAAAGCGCTCCTACTATCACAGCCCACAGAGGCCGAAGCTTTTGAATATTAACAGTAGTTCATATTAGTAACTTATGTTGTGTCTCTGCATGTTAGCTAATGAGTGATGAGTGGCACTGAGGGGACCGCTGCAGCTTCCAACAAGGGCTGTTGTCACATGTGAGTAATAAAGCTCGGGTCTCTTGAATGTGCCGCGGGGGGGGGGGGGGGGGGGGGGGGGGGGGGGGGCTGTGGAAGGGTTACGTCACCGGAGCTGCTCCAGTGTGTTATCGTTAAGAGGAGACTGTGAGAGCAGCGCATACAGCATAATACACACACAGCCAGGAGACACGTCCACTGAGCTCTGCAGGAGCAAGCGCGAGGTACGGCCGACCCCGAGCTCAAAGAAGATTAAGATTTATTCGTCGCACAGTGGGGAAATTTCAATGTTGCGTCACTGGTTAGGGCACAGCACAAGATACATGAACACAGCTCTATACT